ATTTTATTCAGAATCCTACGTAGTGTCTCAGATGTCCCCTCTTTATATGGTATAACTGTGGATGACTTATATTCTTTCTTATTTATGTTATTATTACTAGTTTCACAATTATTTTTATTTTGTTTTTGGCCTTTAGTGATCTTCCTAATGAATTTTATAGGATAGTTATTCAACACCAACGCTTCTTCTATCTGTTTTAATTCATCATTTAGATCGTTTTTTGTGCTACTTAGTGCCACTGCTCGGTTTGTTAAACATTTAACTAAGCCTGCCTTAACAGTTAAAGGATGAGACGAATTAAAGTCTAAATATCTATTAGAATGCGTTGGTTTTCTATAAACACTAGTGTGTAGTTTGCCTTCTTCTATTCTTTTTATCTTACAATCTAACATAGCTAATTCTCCTTGTTCATTTTCTGATTCAAATGTGAATTTTATTCCCTCAACTTGTGAGTTTATGTGTGTCAAGAAGCTAGAGATGTGTTCTGTTTTTAACACTGTGAAAGTGTCATCCACATATCTCCACCATATTTTCGGAGTAGGGTTAAATGTATTGAGTGCACTATTTTCCCAGCTGTCCATAAATATGTCTGCTACGATAGGGGATATTGGTGATCCCATTGCTACACCTTCTGTTTGTCTATATATTTTGCCTTGGAACTTAAAGATAGTAGATGTGAGGCATAACTGAATCCCTAAAATAATTTCTCCAATGGACAGCTTTGTCCTATGACTGAGTTCCGGATCCGCAGTTAATTCTTTTTTAACTGCTTCTAAGGCCATATTAACTGGTATATTAGTATAAAGACCAGTTATATCAAAACTAACCATTGTTTCATCATTCGCTAGTTGAATGTCATTTAGTTTATTTTTCATCTCATATGAATTAGTTAATCTAGAGTTTGAACGATTTCTAATGGGGCATAGTATTAGAGCTAAGTGTTTTGATAATTCATACGTGGGGGTGTTTCTAAAATCTACTATTGGTCTTATGGGGTTACCTGGCTTATGTATTTTTATAGTACCATATATTCTACTAGCATTATTAGTTTTAGGCATTAAATAAAACCATTTAGACTCACCCAGTGATGGCTTCATTCTGCGTATTAGTTCCGCTGTAGATTTCTTAACCTTATTCATTATTGTATCTACAGGCTTCTTAATTTCCTCATATGGACCCGTTTGAATATGTTCAGTAACTTTCTTGATGTAGTCAGATTTATTCAGAACTACGGTGGCGTTTCCTTTGTCCGCTTTTGTGATGACAATATTTTTATCCTGTTTAAGACTAATTAAAGCTTCCCTTTCTGATTTTGTTAAGTTTGATCTTGCCTTCTTTTGATTTTTCAGGGTTGAGAAAGGACTAAATTTTAACGTAACAGTTAATAAATTAAAACCAGAGGACGTCATTCCTAACATAGAAGCAGCACTAAACTCAATAGATAAGACTACAGCAGAAGAGGTTCGAGCACAATGTGCATTAACCCTAAAAAATCAAAAGAAAACAAAATCAAACTTAACAAAATCGGAAAGGGAAGCTTTAATTAGTCTTAAACAGGATAAAAACATTGTCATCGCAAAAGCTGACAAAGGAAACGCCACCGTAGTTCTGAATAAATCTGACTACATCAAGAAAGTTACTGAACATATTCAAACGGGTCCATATGAGGAAATTAAGAAGCCTGTAGATACAATAATGAATAAGGTTAAGAAATCTACAGCGGAACTAATACGCAGAATGAAGCCATCACTGGGTGAGTCTAAATGGTTTAATTTAATGCCTAAAACTAATAATGCTAGTAGAATATATGGTACTATAAAAATACATAAGCCAGGTTACCCCATAAGACCAATAGTAGATTTTAGAAATACCCCCACGTATGAATTATCAAAACACTTAGCTCTAATACTATGCCCCATTAGAAATCGTTCAAACTCTAGATTAACTAATTCATATGAGATGAAAAATAAACTAAATGACATTCAACTAGCGAATGATGAAACAATGGTTAGTTTTGATATAACTAGTCTTTATACTAATATACCAGTTAATATGGCCTTAGAAGCAGTTAAAAAAGAATTAACTGCGGATCCGGAACTCAGTCATAGGACAAAGCTGTCCATTGAAGAAATTATTTTAGGGATTCAGTTATGCCTCACATCTACTATCTTTAAGTTCCAAGGCAAAATATATAGACAAACAGAAGGTGTAGCAATGGGATCACCAATATCCCCTATCGTAGCAGACATATTTATGGACAGCTGGGAAAATAGTGCCCTCAATACATTTAACCCTACTCCGAAAATATGGTGGAGATATGTGGATGACACTTTCACAGTGTTAAAAACAGAACACATCTCTAGCTTCTTGACACACATAAACTCACAAGTTGAGGGAATAAAATTCACATTTGAATCAGAAAATGAACAAGGAGAATTAGCTATGTTAGATTGTAAGATAAAAAGAATAGAAGAAGGCAAACTACACACTAGTGTTTATAGAAAACCAACGCATTCTAATAGATATTTAGACTTTAATTCGTCTCATCCTTTAACTGTTAAGGCAGGCTTAGTTAAATGTTTAACAAACCGAGCAGTGGCACTAAGTAGCACAAAAAACGATCTAAATGATGAATTAAAACAGATAGAAGAAGCGTTGGTGTTGAATAACTATCCTATAAAATTCATTAGGAAGATCACTAAAGGCCAAAAACAAAATAAAAATAATTGTGAAACTAGTAATAATAACATAAATAAGAAAGAATATAAGTCATCCACAGTTATACCATATAAAGAGGGGACATCTGAGACACTACGTAGGATTCTGAATAAAATAGGAATTAGGGTGGCATTTAAACCTACAAACTCACTCAGGGACAAGCTCTGTAGGTTAAAGGACCCAGTTGACCCAATTAGACAAAATAATATTATTTACAAAATACCATGCAATGACTGTGAGGTCAACTACATAGGTCAAACTAGTAGGTCAGGGGTAGTCAGATTGTCAGAGCATAAAAATTTAGCTAAGGTAAGAATGGTTGACCCCGAGAAGATAAATAATTTAGAAAAAAGCTCAGCAATTGCAATGCATGCGCTAACACACAACCACACAATAGGGTGGGAGAGGGTTAAAATTCTAAAAAGTAATCTAGGTAGGTGGAGAGAGAGGTTGATTACTGAATCCTTGTTCATCGAGTCTACACCCAACACATGCAATAGGAATGACTCGTCACTCATACCTGAAATATGGAAAATACTATTACCAATCAAATCAAGTGAAAATCAAGAGAAAAACAATGGAACTATATAAATGAATTTAGGAAGTCGTGTGATTACCTTGATATGATTATGAGCAATAAATTGTGCTCGAAACGTCATCAGTAAACATTACTGTATAACACTGTGAGACTTTATCAAAACAAAATTTACCCATAATGGAATTACACTCTACCACAGTGCACAAGTTTTATTCTTATATCAATAAATTGTTCCGTCTATTTAAGTTAATCATTATCCCTGAGTCAATAACTTTCTCAACTGTAAATCCAGCCTCATAAACAATCCGGCATAAGTTTACAGATATCTTTCGCTCTAATAACACCGACATGAAGACTTCAAATACCTTAGTAGCCATTTTACGACCAATAAGCATATTACTACTCCTATTTTACCTATGATATTTTGGAAATTTCTGCACAAAACCTAGTTTGTATTTAGCAGTGCAATATCCCGCAAATATGTTTGATTTTATTTTTTGAATTCACTAACTCCGCAGTTGGACTCTTGCTTCCATTACTTTAACATTTAACTAAACCCGACTTAATTGATATCAGGTAAGGTCATCCTTATTTGAAGCTATTGGCAGAATGTGGTGGATTTTATAGAATCCAGTATCTACAATCCTTCTTGTTCTAGTTTTGTTTCGTAGTTTTATGTAGATAATTCACATTTTCTAATTTGAAGGTGAGCTGGATTCTATTTATTATTTAGTTTACGCGTGTAAGGAAATTCTGGATATGGTCAGATTTTTACAGACCACATGTCTTTACCGTGGATTAGGTGGAGAATTCCACCATCTAAGAGTCCGACGTTCTCAACGTGTCATGAAATATACGCACTAGAATTAGGGCTATTGGTGATCTGACTGTCAATAGTTTTAATGGCTTCTAATATTTCTGTAAGGCTTTCCAAGACTTCCTTAACCTTTCAAGCCTACTTGCAAACTTTACTTGTAGACAGAATGAAATTTATTCATCAAAGAAACTAGAAATTCACTTCACTATGTAGCACGCTAGTTTGAATTACTTATGAGAATCAACTCGTTGTGGAAGCTTTAAGTTATTACTTGCACTTTGCTCCAGGGCTCTTCAAAAGATAAAATACCTCTACGTTTTGAATTATAAGAATACTTTTCCACAGTATGAAATGTATAAATTATTAAATTAACTACTTCAGTAATCATATTTGTTTCTACTGTGGGATTGCTTTTGCGAATGGGAAATAGTGTTAGTAGTTTTCATTCTAAGGTCAGTTATATGTGAATGTAATTTCTAGGAATATGCCTTTCTTTTACTCTTTTTTCCTTACACTCTCATAAGTGATCACTTAAAGGGATTACTATTATTATTGATATTAATAATAATAAACACTTTCCAATAATAATAGTAATCTTCTCAGTTAGATATAGATTGATTCCTTTTGCAAATTCAAAGCGTGGCACATTTAAACTGAAAAATAGTCAATAATAAATGCGTCGCCCAACTAGTATTCATATATTTGCCTGCTCCGTAGATTATGTTCAATTATATACGGTCATTCACAATGTGTATAACAAGCTATATAAATGTTATTTGTAGTCTCAAGCATACTACAGAATTATATATATATATGTATATATATATATATATGTATATATATATATATATATAAATATATATATATATATATAAATGTGTGTGATGTCTTCTGTGACCATTTCATTTTAAATTGGACGTAGAGCCAACCAACTGACAATAACAAACTATAACTGTCCACTTCCGTTCTACATGTTAATAATCCGAAATTTGTGTATACAGTATATTGACCATTGTTACGACTACCATTGCTTTTATTTCTCTAAAAGCAAATACACACATACACACAGAGTACATACAGTGCATAGAAAATCACACTTGAGCACAATAGTAGACGTACACACGCAAACACACACCTATATACACATGCTCAAAGAGCATTTTAAGCACTACAGGAACACTCATTAACACACTCATTTAACACAGATATACACAAATGTCCCATAATGATTTGTAATTGGTCATGGTTAGGGCAATTATATTTCTTTCAATTATCATTAATTTCCTGCATAAATAGCATACCATAGTTTGACTTCAATATTTCAACTGAAATAGCATGGAAGTAATAACTTCAAGTGACCAACTCCGTCATAGATCGAATCATCCAATATCTTCATTATACAATGTAAAACAAAAATTTCAAGCTTTAAGCAACAACAGTGAAATACCGACAACTGCTTTTCCTGTTGTACACGAAAGTCGATCCTCTACAGTGAATATACGGCATATTTCCACACCATTCACCTATTCACAACCAACCAGTTCAACACTGACAACGACAAAAGCCGCAGCAGAGACACTGTCTTCTTTCTCCTCTTCTCCCTTACCTGTGAATACTTTTCCACCTAATTCTTCTTCACAGCCAACCAGTTACCCAGTGAATGAACCAGACTGTCTAGTGATTCTTGATATTTGTACCTCTGGTAGACAGCACGATGAAACAGGTTCTGATGAATATCCGATAATATTGTTGACTGCAAGAATTCACAATTTAAAACAATTTGATGTAAGTGTTTGAGAAATTGCTTTTTCAAATTAAAAAAAAAACAATTTGACACTGTGTTCATGTTTCAGACATTGCTTGTTTGTTTAATTTTGACAATGAGTTTTTGATGTTTGATGTTATCTGAGTTGATTACTGAATAGTGATCAGTATATCACGTTTCATTTTGTCTCTATATTGGATTTTGTTGTGTGTTTGTAGTCGATTCAGTGTTGATGTTCATGCCTTTAATATTGTATCATGCATAAATTACACATCTGTTTGTTTATTGCAAAATAAATGTTTCGCCTAGATAAGTCCCTTTTAATCGACTGTTATCGGCTATCTAGCCTTCATGATATGATGTCATCACACTTGAACAAAAATAATAAGTGTATTAGTTTGTAGGGATTTGATTGGTTACAAGATTTCATCATGAGCTGACATTGGTTAGAGAACCACTGGAAAACCTGGGAGTACTGGACAGCTGTTTCGTCCTAGTTTGGAGCTACTCAGCACTACGCACCCACCGTCAGGGTTTGAACCCAGGACCTCCTGGTTACAAGGCGAGCTCGTATACCATTAAGCCACTGGGACCTGATCCAATGGCCCATGAATTCTAACTTCTGCCAGTTCATGACATAGCGCGACCACTAGCCAATGTCTTCGGCGAGTATTTGCCCTCACACCCGACCGGCTGCACCCTACTGGTCACGACTTCTCACTAGAACCCCTGGTAACTACCTACCTGAATAGAGTAAGTCGCTAGTGAGCATCTCATGGATATTCAAGTGTGTCTTTCTTACCTTTATTCGCACTGAATGTATAAGATATGCTGCTAAACTATTCAAATTCATTGAGAATCTACGCATCCGAATTCGGGCTCACTTATAATACGGTGTGTTTTAATAACTCAGCAACCTGTCTTGTATCGTTAGGCATCCCTTTTTTCAGTAATTCAGTGTCACCTTACTCCTTTTATAATCCCGATTCTTAGTAAACTTCTTAGTGCATTCCAGAAGACTTTAGAGCAAAAATCGAGTCAAAAAAATTAGGACACTAACAATCGTATTCTATCTCGTTCAAAGCGCTTTCAAAACTGTTTTCCCATAAGCTTTCTTCAAACACATGATCGACTTGATCAGCCTTCTGGTGAACATATTAAATCTGACATTTTTGGACTAGATTAAACTAATTCTTTTGACTGCATCTCATTTGAGATTTTGCATTTTCACTGTGAAACTAATTCATCTCGATAAAGACTTTTTCTGGATCCCACATAAACTTTTGACCAAATAATTAATGGCAAGAAGTTTGTAATGATTGATTCCGTATACCCAACCCCATCAAAAAGATGTCAAGTCAATAAGTTTTTCATTTTAAGTCTAATGAACAGAATTTAGAGGACACCGAGAGGATATTTCAGCTAACCCTGTTGGTCTGAATAATTTCTGAATTCTGCGTAAATATCTTGCTATCCTCATGAGAATCAGTTTCTATAATTTGGTTATTAGCTAAGCATAGATTTCTCGACTAACTAACTGCTATAGAAATATGGTTTCGTGTACAGATATTGAAACAGTGTCTGCTTGCAGTCTGATTAGTTGATTAGTACTGATCATTGGAATCCCTAGAACACAGCACTTCACCATGGAAAAAACTGCTCACGAGTCTGAACTACTGACATGTTTCCAGTCTCATTAAGAACATCTTTGTGTGTGAGATTTCAGCGTAGACATCATCTTGCATGGTGTGATATGTGTTCTTTTATTTCTACTGCATATCACCAAAAGTACAGTATGACATCGTTTCGTATATTAGAGTGGTTCAAGTTTATTGTTTGTCCAGCATAAGTATTGCGTAATTTGTCTATATTTTTTACCAGATAACATTTTCTTCAAACTTTTTTGGTGATTGTTAGCAAAATGAAGCCAAATTTCAGCTGTTTGTCAAGCCATGTCAAGTTATCTATGATGACTTTAAGGATCTTGGTACATCAAGGACTAAACGACCTTATGTCAAATTGGAAGCTCACGAAAACTCTGCCCAACATGATGACATCTCAACAACTGATGTAACAATGGACTCCACTGTCAACGCAATAAATGACAACATGAGAATGATAGAACCAACTGACGAGTGTATTGCAGTAACTGGGGTAAACGATCAAATCCTGGCAGATTCTCCCCTACTTGAAACCGCCTTAAAGCAAGTAAGTTGAAAGAAAAATTAAAATTACTGTTAAATAAGCTTTAACTGGTTCATGATTGACTGTGGTACAGAGAATATCTCTTGTTGGTCGACTTTGAAAGGCATTATACAGTGACCTTCCCTCCCAATAATTAACTGCTCTAAAATATATTTAGTCAGAGTAATGACTAAACGATGAATTTTTAAAATGCTCATCTGAGTGTTTCATTTAGGGAGAAAATGAAAGCAAGTAAACCGTCGTGGAGATAGTTGAGGGTGAGAACCAAGTGAAATGTACATATATCACTGAATTCTTGTGTTCTACTTGGAACTAAAGGAACGAATAGTAATAGTGATTTGAGTGTTTTGTAAAATTTCTCTTTTAACCAGTCTGGTGATATATTATGTCTTTCAAGACTTATTTCTTAAGTAAGTACTTGATGAATAAGACGTTATCAGAATGATTTGCAAATAATTCAAACTCCTAAAACATGATAGAATGCACAGTTTTGTCATATCTTCAACCTGTTGGTGTGAAGCTGATAAGCATTACGAGATTTCAAAATACTATACTGGCTACATCCTGATGGCAGTTAAGTAAACGTACTTAATATATTCCAAGAAAACCTCTCTATATCGACACGATACGAGTTATCTAAGGTCATTTAAAATCACACACAGTTGAAATGGCTAACAGTCTCTGGCATTTAGATATTCATTTTCGCTCGGTAGCCTCCAAACAGGTGTGCATAATCTGTCGGTAAGCACGAACCCTATTTGTGTTATGATATTTCCATGTGGCATAATCATGACGTTCCTAATTCATGCAGATGAATGATGTGCATTTATCTAGTGGTGACTAGTTATGTACAGTACTTTGATAACAGATTACTCAAGGTTTTATCCTTATTGAAAGAATAATTTGGCCGAAATGTACGGAAATTAGAAGATATATGACAGAAAACAGTACGAGAAAGTAGCTCAGATGACAGTGAGGGCAATACATTATAAACAGACTGAAAGAACTTTGTTTCAATTGCGTTCTGAAATTAAAGCCTTACTAATCCTTGCCGTTCTAAAGGTAACAGAGGTCGCTTCTTGTTCACCAAATCAATAGATAATACATACATAATGAATGATTGAAAATTCGACTGCGTATACGACAAACCAAAAAGAATAATAAGAAGCGTATAAATCATGTTTAGTAGTTGTGGTGTACAATTTATTGCATTTGTGAATAATAAACTACGTTAATATTGTTAACCAGTTAATAATACTGTCTCACTGGGCGATACATATGGTAGACAAATTAATGTACATAAATGCATTCATCTTTTGATAGGTGTTGCTTAACAAAGCGGTTCAACTGTTAATTTTCGTTAATTTTAATAAGATAAATTTCGTCCTTCTTACAACATTAGTTTGACCAGTGGATAGAAGAAAATAATCTGTATTGCTTCAAGAATGATCACTCTACATGGAGCTGGAAGGCTCAAGAAACAAACTCAGAGTCTCACTGTCCAGATCAGTTATCTCCTACGAATACGACGACAGCATCAACAACAACAACAAAAATGGACTGTGACGAAAATCTAAGAAGTTTCATTCTGCTAGTGGATGGACCGTATGGCTTGCGTTTGTCACTTCATCCAGAGACCACAGTAAAATCAATCGCCTTAACAGAATACCCGTATTTTTATCAGTTTATTGATATCAAAAAGTCTTTCACCAAATTCTACGGATTAAATTCTATCCCCAAAACAACCGATGAAATGTTAAAGTGTAAGTTTCTTTCTAAAAATAGATCGTTTTTTTGAACAATTTTCGTAAACTACAAGTTCATTGTTATAAGTGTATTTCAAAATTTCTACTCGCTTCACTTTATCGAGGTAAAATAAAGGTCATCAACTGATATGTTGACTGTTTTGTACAGCTACTTCAAAATACCCTAATTCAGATCCAACCTATGAGGAAGGGATTATAGATTCCACACTTCAAGCTACCGTTATTCGTTTAGATCCTCAATGTGAATACCATAACTTATTTAAGATTCAATTGCATACAGCTAAGGAACTCCAATTATGAAAAAGTACACATACTGAATTTTACTTTTGACCACAGTCAAACAAGTAGAATTCAGGGCTAGTGGGTCCATTGGGAAGCCACGAAATATTTATTTTATTGAGCTTGAAAATGAAAGCATCCAAAAGATGAGGAGTATTGAATTGAACTCTTTCCCCCTCGCTGTCTTAGCCGTCTTGTTGGCACAAAACCAAGTATAAAATTACCTCAAGATACCTGAGGAACTGACAATATTCACTACAGAAGTATGTTCTGTTTGAATTGAAAGGCGATTAGTTATGATAGGATCAGAATTTGAATATTACAGATGTGTAGATCCTGAATGACTGAGGTGGCTCGAAAATATATTTTGCCAGCTAAATCATCGTCTCCCTCTGTCACCAACAGCAGCTTAAGCACGGTTAATTTTTAAGAATTAGCTGTGATGAAATCAAACCTGGAGATAGTGACGATTTATCTGGGTAAATAACCGGTATTTGAAGACTCCTAGTGACATGTTGTCTTCACTCCCTATTACCTTCGAAATTCAGAACATCACTACTGCTCCTTAAAATATCCTTTCTACTAAACATCCGTTTCTTTCGCATTATTTCCCACACGCTTTCTCATGTGTAGCAATTAGTAAAAAGTGTCTCTTTTCGTTTTATGCATTTTTTCCTAGCCAGTATACCATAAAATATTTGAGATAGTGATTATGTGAGTACTCAAAGTGAACTGTCATTCCTTTAATAATGCCTAAATTCTCTCATTTGTTAAGGAAACAGAACATACGCAATGTTTAAACTCTTCTTAAGTTCGTTAACAAATAATATCTTTAAGTGTTTGGTTTCTACGAGTTTGACTGGTTTTACGGAGCATGAAAATGAATCCGTCACTGATTAATGACTGACAACAGGATTCAGTCGCCTGTGGAGAAATCATCACTTTACGGGTCCATCACGTTGTTTGTGAAGACTTGCATTCACTTATGGTACTGGATAGTGGTGGCTATGTATAGCAAATGAGCAAGACTTAAATTCATGGCAAATCGGATTCCAACCTGTTGGCTGATACGTCAACTAGTTGGCCTGATAGTTTGAAGTTCCTGAGTTAGACGTCTAATTGTGCTATAGATGAACGCTGTTTCATAACTAAAACCCACACTGAAGCAATTCCTCTTAAAGAGTATATTCTTCTTGATAGTAACAAACCGAAGGAAAAATTGTGAAACTTAAAAACGACTGGTTTGTAGAAATTATATTTGTTTAGATTTCAGCAAAATTAAAACCAACAATTCCAGTATTTTATCCGTAAACTGTTTTCTTTCTCATGGAGGTGAATAGTTCACATATCTAAGAAAACTTTAAGTAGTTTCCTAATTGTTGGTTTGCTTATCTTCTGTTACAAGTGACTGCGACCTATTTGTTTGATACACTGACGCAGTATTGATGTGCATATACGCCTAACTGACGAATACCAGCAAGCACGAAACCCAGATTCAAGGTTTTCTGCCAACTATCTCCAACCATCCAATAACAACAATTCACAGTGCACCCTAATGCCGAGCCAACTAGCGTGGTGAACACATTGTAAACTGTACTGACCGATTTCACTCTACACCAAGGACTCGATGAATGACGCTAGTTAGTACTTATTGCCCAGTCAGGCAATATGGTAAGAATGCTAAATCTCAGCATCTATAGGGGAATACTGACAGTTCAATGATTGTATCATTAATTTACTAATGAATTCTGGTATTTTGGTACAAAACCAGTTGGTTAGTTTTTCCAAAACAAGTCATTTCAACGAGAATTCGTACTATTTAACACTAAATAAATGGCAAAAATAATCCAAGGGAATAACTACCTTTTCTCAAATCATATTAAACCTATGAAACAAGTTAGTCTGTATCCAATGTTTTTAGGTAACATGAATTTATATTTTTGACATGTATGCATATCAGGCGAAGGCCTGTATCAAAAGTGAAAAGATTTTTAAATCGCTGAGCTTGACAAGTCATTCGAATAATGGAAACGATCATTATTCGCATTGTCAGAAGCATCTTTGACACAAAAAATTCATGCGATTTCGATAGCTTGTTTCAGTTGCAAATATCAGTCATTCATATCAGGTTAAAGGCTAGAAATGTCGATGAAAACCAAGTGTCATGAGATGTATTTCAAACACGTCAAAATAACACACAAATTAATGACTAAGCGATATGACCTATTATTTCTCTTTTCATTTTCTTACAGAAGTGAGATCTAACAATTTCTACACTCAACTTGTGACTAATATGTTATTAATCATGGTTCGGCCTTCATGATTTTAATTGTTAAGTCAAGTTAATCTATGTATCTGTGATAATAATCTATAAAATGTGGGTAAATTCCAGTCCACTTTTTGACTTAGTACGAAAATGATTGTTTTCTAATGACTAATTACCTGCTTGGTGTTTTTCTTTTTCTCTTCATCCACTTTTAACCTTATAGATTTGCAAATAGATGATGAATACTTACCACCTTTCTTAAATCATCACTTTACTGAATCGTTTTTCTTGCCGCCTCAGAATGATAAATCTGACTGTTTATTAGCATGTGAAACATCCAGCAGTCATTATGAATGTCAGTATTCCAGCCAGCATGCCGAAAAGCCTGAAACTACTTCCAGCAGTCAACGAGGTCAGCCTAACTTTGCTATTACCAGTGAATCAGATGACGAAGATAAAAACTATGTTGAAACTAACTATAAATCTACTGAACCAGGTTACTGGCCTAATCAGCATTGTCAAGTGTTGATTAAACTGGTCAGGAAAATGACTTCAGATGGTTAGTTGAACTGAACTGTGCTATTAAAAGTTTGTTTCTGTTAAGCATGCCCCGTTCTGCGATTCTAAAATATCTGTTCATTGTTAATATACATTTATAGACATGAAATACTTCAGTCCAACGTGAAAGGAATCTTCCATCCTTCTTCATATTAGTATGACTAGCAAAAGAAATCCGTTATGAAGATAAGAGAGTTCCGACGTCACTTAGTCCATTTAATTTTATCGAACTTCTGTGATAACGGAATAGTCAGTGTTGGAATAAAGATATCAGGGACTGATGATTACCAAATAAGTGTTTTTATATGTTTCATAATATCTTATCAGTGCACACCCACCACAGTTATCGCATGCCACATGACATGTTGTTTTATCGTAAAAATTAAACTTTCAGCACCGAAAAATGGGAACACATCAGTGACCTTAAAACACATCGGCCACATGAAACGGCGGTTTTTACGTTATAGAATACATAAATTTATTAAAATAATAAATAAAAATGCATGAAAATGTTGCATAGGATGCCCTTCTCTGACCTGTGACAAAAATCCCTCCCCGACTTGCATTGCAGTGTCAATAAAGTAATTAAAACACAGTCTATGAATGTAGTCATCTAGGTCTTCTAACACTAATCTTAATCTTCTCTTAACCAAACTCTAACGCGAAACTGTCCCTAAACTAACTCTGATCTAGCTCAAACCAATCCTTAGATCTCCCTTCTTTCGCTAACCTGGCCCTAACATATTCTTAGTCTAAACTTTAACTTAATCTTTTCCGAACCCAACCTAAAAACTTATCAGAAATCCTGTATTATATCATAACACTTCATTGAAGATATTTTATTCATGATTATAGTGTTATCTTGCTGGTTTCACCAACTTGATGACTGAGTGTTCCGAGGTCATTGGTGTGGTTGTACTCCTATGGTGCTTAAAGTTTAACTTGGCCATTTTATCATACCTTCAGATGGAAAAGAAAATGAAACGGTTAATGTTCCCTCCAGTACTAGGCGAGTTAGCACAATCCCATAATCGTGTCAACTTCATATAGTTAATCTAATTGATGATGATAATTAGACTGGATAGTTTTAAGAGATATCTCATAGAATGTGTAAGAAAACACTGTCTTCATATGCAGGTTTTTTATCAATGTATGTTGAAAAATGGTCATTGTAACCTACTAACCACCGGTTAACACAGGCATACTGACACACACACACACACACGCACAGAAACCCTTGAGCTTAAACTTAACATCAAGTCATGCAACTCTACATTTCTTCAATAGTCACGAAGAATTATGAAAAGAACTAGCAAACAACTAGGTCAGATAGAACATTGCTAAAAAAACTATTCACCAATACTCATCCAAACAACACTTGTCTACTATAATCATTTTACAACGCTAGTAACAGCTGTTAAGAGAATGTAAATAATGTGAATGAGCATTTTATTTTCAAACTGTCAGGGTAAGTGTTGTGTTTTTTATTTGCTTGTCTACATATTCATTTTATTTATATATTTATTTGGCTATTTAGTTACCTATACGCTTCTTCCACTCTCTTCGCATAACTTTTTATTATATGGCCAAGGAAGTGGCCAGTAGACAGAGAGTTCCTCTGAAAGAAATCTTCACCTGTAAACATTCATGATAATAATAGAATGAATAACAACAATAATGAAAAATAACAATAATAATTAGTGAGACAGGTTAATAAGTTAAAAGTAATACAGCATACAATAAACTGATTGACAGTAATTACAATAAGCTGATTCTTCTAGCCAATAATCTTCATGCCATTGACATGGTTTGCTTAAGGTTGAAGTGAACAGTTACATGGATTAGAAATGCATATTTAAATTGATTTTGCAGTAATTTATTTACATTTGAAACTGAAAATTATTCGTTAGTAAATTAATAGACGAGAACCCATTCGAATTAGCCGAATGTCGGTGTAAAATTAAGAACTAATGGACATCAGTTCATACAACTAACTTTCCCATGTTGATTGTCATTCATAAGACGCTGTAAGGCAGTGAGCAAGAAGATTTAAATGGTCACTGTTTCTTCTGTAAATAAATTGTGTCTTTGACTGAAATTAGTTTAATCTTTCTGTAGAAGGCAGTGGTTAAGACGTGATGCAAATAATATTCAAATTGCTTAAATTATAACTAAGTTTTTGAAATGAAAAATGTAGTGCAACAAACATACCAGTTAGTACAGAATTTAGCTTAATGCAGATTGTTTCAAATTATCAGATACATGAAAACCACTATTGATTGCTTGGCAAAATGAAGCAAACTATTTCATTCTGGATAAGTTTTTGGATGGTATTGGTAAAACGATTCCTTATACTTCTAACCCATCCCCATATCTTATTTACCACTGAGCATATTTACTACTTTCATTTTTCATTTGTCTACAAAACTTATAGCTCTGTCCACACAATTTATCCTCTTAGCTTTTTCTTATGGGGCAGTATGAAGTAAGGAGCTTGTTAGTTGAATTTGTTTGCCTTCGGTAAGTTGCATTGTCAAAAAAATTTGGTTTGACAGTTTGACATCAGCCATTGAAAAGTAAGTTTAGAAAACGCTTACTGGCAGATTAGTGTAATTCTGTGAAAACAGATTTTCACTGCAATGTCAGTTATTGTAAGAGTGCGTCTATTTTTTATATAGAACATAGGCTATATGTGTGTAAATAGTAGAGCAAAGTTGGAAGACGTTTACCGCATAGTTTGCGTGTTAGATTAAACAGACTTCAAATAGAAGTCAACTGTTTGTCACACAGTAATCGCTTAGACTGATAACCAGCTCTTCCCCTCCCTCTCTCTCTCCTTCTCTCTCTCTATATATATACCAACTAGTTCCAACTTTCAAGATTACTGGTCAATAGTTTACTGAAAACCTTCGGCATACAATAATACTAACAAAAGTATTTCTTTCGAAGAGTTTCTGGCACTACTTAGATTAGGGACTGCAGAAAAAATGCGTATCGGGAAGAAGATAATCTCAGTGCCTAGCCACTAATCTTTCCTTAAGTATTTGTTAAGTCTGGATTCTAAGGGTCACATCGAAATAGTAAGAACATAAGCTTCATCCATTGATTTAGCTTATGATGAGAATTGTCAAATACTCTTTGGATTTAAGCATACACAGTCATATCATTTACATAGTTATTATTCACATATACAAGCAGGACTAGTTATTTAGGTGTAATTTTATTCCTTACCACTTGTGGTGAAACATTTAGTGATTAAAAAGTCGGAAGAAAGTATATAAAAAGTGGATTGACATCGTGACCCCCCTCATTATTTAATATGAAAATCTTTAGCTACTCACAAGTAATGAAAAACCTTAGAGAAAAACTATTTCATAAGAAAAAGACATAAACGGCGAAGAAATTTTTTCCCTGTGACTTATTTTCATAAGATAATAAAAAGAAGCAAAATTATGGCAAGAACTTTACTCTGGTCATAGTAGGGCGAGTGAAGGTATGTAGCACTTTTGAATTCAGAGGTCCAGTTTCATATCCCGAATAACTAATGCTTCGACTAGGTAGTGTATTGGGAAACTGCTTGGTATTGTAGCCGGTTGGAAATCTGCCACAATAAAATGTTTCCATTTCATCTTTAGACAACATCAACTACATCAGACTCAATGCTTTGGTCTAAGGGTATCACGGTTGTTCTTAGTAAAGAATCAGTGCTGATGAGAAGAGTTGGTTTGGCAGCTGGTGTGTCAACGTATGGAACGGGCGACTACTTAACACTCAATCATATTACTACTTCTGGTGACTGAAGTGAAATCACTACATAGACGGTAATTAATTTTACAATCCACTTAACAAACGTCTGACCTGGTGATCTATGGGCCAACAATTCACATCGTATCATCAAGTAATTTAATCCATACTATAAGTTTGAGCTTCCAAATGGAGTATTGACATCTCAGAGTAATTTTTGATATTAGATATACATGAAGAAGGGTTTTCTCACTTATTCATAAATCTATTTTCTCTGCAGGAATGAAATGGGGAGACTTCGAAAAAATTAATCGTGATTACTATCCAGCAATAATGTAAGATTTTAAATGAATTACTGTATAAAATATTTTTAGCTCAAATAGAATTGATTAATATGTGACTTGTTATCATTGATTTGATAAGATTAGTGCCAATACGTATCAATAGTAACCATGACCTAAGAATGGAAACCATAGCAAGAGAAACTATAAGTCGAAACGGTTACCTTCAACTATCCGTTGGCATAGCATCGATAAATGAGTTATTGGATGTCCACCCATTGGCAAAGAAACATAATGACCCTGGGTTCTGATGAATTTCAAGATAATTCAATAAACAAAAAATTCTATTCTTCTTGGTCCAAAGTAGTTCTATAGCTGACGTCATCTCGCTTTAAGTATTGCTTTAAAGTCCCTTAAGTTTCCCACCTGTATCATGAAGCGATTAGATTTCAAGTAAGAAAGTTAAAACCAGTTATATCATTTCTATACTGGATTGAAAACTTCTTTAAAAAGTGGTCATCACAAATGAAGAGTGATAAGTGACAAAAAAGATATGCAAGTGAACAAGAACATGCCCACGAGATAGTGAAGACGTCACCATAGGAGGTTCGGAATAACTGATATCTTATTTGTCCGCATAAACTCTGTGTATAAATTTGAATTGCACGGGCTCTATCACTGTGCTGGATATTTTCCTGTGCGTTGTCTTGCGACAAACGGGAATTTAGAGGAATTTTTAACTTCTAATGTGTAAACCCATTTAAGTGCTTAAGCATACAACTAGACTCCCCTTGCCGCTCAAGCCGTTTCTTTGACCAGTAAGGTTGAAGATGCCAAGTAGTGATACCTTAAACTTTCCTGATATTGGCATCGACTGAGTGACAGTCCTCAGACGTTTTAAGCTGGTTTTCTGCTTTATTTCTACTTTACTGCTTCAAATAAACGTATCATAAATTCAACGACAGTATGAGAATTTCTCGAATAGTTTACTTGTATGGATGGGATTGTCAGTCCTTTATGTCTTATAACATCCTCCACACCTATATAGAGTAAACTATGGAGCTAAAGTTTAAAAATACATGAAGAAATAGATGTGCAGTCACGAATCCTTTGTTGCTTTATATGAAGTCAACGACTATTTCCTCTCAGAAGACAAACTTCGAATGCCCAATTACACTATATAAACAGTAATTTTCACATGCTGGGTTATCCTCTGTTTGTTTTTTGACTCAAAAATATCTTACAGTAGAATGACATACTGTCATCAGCTTAATGCTTAATCCACACTTTGCTATGGTACAGAAAAATGAAAAAATATTAGATTCAGTAAACGGATTGTTTTCCAGTATCTGCATCAATGAAACTATACACAATACTAATGAGTGAAATACTGTTAAGTGAATTAATAATCATTATTTTATTTTCAAACAACATAGACGCAAATCAGACGATATCAGTGATAATGTTGTCGTCCGGGCTCGAGGATTACCATGGCAGGCCACAGACTTGGAAATTTTTCAGTTTTTTAGCGGTATCAATATTGCCAAAGGTGGAATATCATTAGTACTGAGTAAGATTGGTCGAAGAAACGGAGAGGCGCTAATTCAATTCGCCGATTCAGAACAACAAGGCTTAGCTTTACGAAAGCATAAGCATCATGTTGGCAAAAGATACATTGAGGTCTACGCTGCAACAGGTCACGATTTTGTGTCCGTAGCTGGAGGTAAGAGTAAAGCGTCTTTTTGTAACTTAAAAACAGTTTGTCCATTTAATAAATTTCGACAATGTTATTAGAAGACTGAATTTATTTGAAAAATCTAGTATATTTGAGCAATGCATTTCGAACAGTCTGATTACACATTTACTTATCAAGTGAATTCATATGAAAATGCAAGCCTTATTAGAAAAAATTAAATGATAAGGATGTCTCAACTACAGGCAGTCGGAACGGACGAGGATGTCAAATCGAGCGAGAATCGGGAAGGCGAGAAACACATTCATCAACCTGAAACCAATCTGGGGATCTTCGTTACTCAGCATCACCAACAAAATTCGGATCTTCAATACAAACAACGTCAAGTCAGTCAGTTCTTCTATACGGATCAGAAACTTAGAGGGTCACAAACAATATTTCCAACAGCCTGTTGCAGACCTTTATTAACAACTGTCTTCGCTTGCTCTATACTGAAGATCAGATGGCCGGGCCGGAAAGAATCACCAACAACGAGTTATGGGAACAAACAAAACAAGAACCAATCGCCCACCAACAGCAAATATGCAGGAGAAAGTGGAGATGGATTGGACACTCACTGAGGCTGGAGACCGCTGGGTGACATGGCACGCGCGTCAGGCCATTGTTCGAATGGAACCCGAAAGGGAAGCGGTGAGTGGGACGTCAGTGCAAGGGTGACATGGAGGATATCTTGTGAAGAGGAGTTGAAAGAGTACGGACTAACATGGATGCAGGTGAAAAGTACAGCAGCAGAAGACAGAAGCAAGTGGAGACGTGCATTTGAAGGCCTATGTTCCACTAGAAACCCAAGGGAACAGTAAAAATAAATAAAAATGATAAGGGGTTTAAGAATAGGAGGGATAATAATTATTATTACTTCTGGTTATGTGATCAGATAAGAACTATCATGGTAGGTTAAGGGTAATAATAAATTGTTTTTTTACACAAAAAGGAGGGTGTGACATAATCACTTCTGTGTTGTTGAGGCCTGGGGTAAAGCATGTTTCTGACTTTTCAGTAATTATAAGCCAGGCTGCATATTGTGACTTACGAATGACCAAGTTTAGTCTTTGTCTTTAAATCCTACCATTTATTTCTCCATATTAAGGAAATTTCACATAGACACCCTTCTATGGGATAGAACCGATTGTGAAGCCTTTTAAACAAAACAATTTAGTTCATCTAATACCCTGCAATGATTGTTAGGTCAAATACATAGGTCAAACTAGTAGATTAGGGGCGGTCAGAGTAGCTGAACATAAAAACCTAGCGAAATCTTGATTGGTTGACCCAAATAAGATAAGAAATCTAGAGAACAGTCCAGCTGTAGCAATACATGCAGTAACGCACAACGATACAATAGGATGGGATGGGATGACAGTTTTGAAATCTAATGTCACAGGGTGGAGGGAAAGATTGATAACAGAAGCTTTGTTTATCGAATTAGCTACAAATAGGTGCAACTGGAATGATTCAACACGTGTCCCAGATATCTGGAAAATTCTACTACCCAAACGACGAATAGGAGAAGACAAAGAAAACTATAAAACTCAAGTTTCAAAGTCGAGTGATTACAATTGATATGATTATGAAGAATAAATTTTGTTCGAAACTGTGTCATCCAGTAAATAATACTGTTTCACTGAGTGATATATACAATAAAGAAACTAATATGGAATTACATATTACCACAGTGCCCAGGCTTTACACATATATTGATATCAAAACAACTTTCAAGATCATTTATAAAAACAGTCAGGGACTCCTAATGAAATAAACAGATGTGATAGTTATCAGTAAAATTAAGCCCTTTCCCCTTTGTGTACAAAAATAATTTATTATTACCCCAAACCTACCATAATAATCCTTATCTTATTTTACAAATAAATGTGTAATCTGATTGTTTGAAATGTATTGCCCAGATACACCGTATTTTTCAGATAAACTCCATCCTGTAATAACGCCACCGAAAGATTTTGTAAGATCACTTTTATCCTACTTCTTGGTAGTAACAAGAAAAGACACCAAATAATTTCCAAAAGTTTATTTGTGGCAGTTTGATTTGTTTCAAGTTTGATCGCGGATTGATATCGGTTAGAGAATTCATGATTCCTTGTGTAGGATTCCAGTGGCTAAGTGGTCCACGAACTCGCCTTTTAACCGGGAGGTTCTGGGTTCGAAACCTAGTGGGTGCGTACTGCCAATGAGTCCCGTAATAAGACGAAACAGTTGTCAAGTACTTCTTAATTTTCAGTGGTTATCTAACTGACATCAATCCGTGTTCAAACCTGAAGCACTAAATAACGTTAAAATAGAAAGTTTCTCGACAAATGACTAACGGGAAGTCAATTTTTCACGATGTCCCTATTAATTGATGAGTCACCAAGATCCATGGAAAGCATTAAATTAATGATATAATTTTTATTCCCTGATAAGCTGATGGTGAAAATGGTAGAATATATATATGACATGCTTACAAATCAAAGTGATAGATATTCCTGTATCTTCACTAAAATAACTTCTCTTAAGGTCAGTGATAAACATAAACTTCTTACTAAGAAAAGGTATGTATAAGTAGTCTCAGAGTGCTATTATGACGTCACCACGTTGTGCACTCGTAACAGATCTTGCCTAACAAAACTAGACGTTGGTTCACTAAACCAATAAATGTGCTTGAGTTCTGTTATTGCCTAAGTAGTAACACATTTATATTCCTAAAGAAGAGGAATTAGAGGAAGGAAATGCAGGAGGAACTTCAAAAATCTTATCAATTTATAGTTGAGAAGGAAAAGAGAATGATGCTATACAGTTATTGAATCCGAGGTTTACTGTTATACAAAACGTTACATCAGAGGCTTATTACACAGCGTAACTAACTGTAATCATTTTTTAACTGTGAGGCGGAGTATTCTTTTGTTGTTGTTTTAAACACGTATCTTTGAGTGTCGGAATTCTGGAACTAAGATAAAATGGGTTTCTCTCAGCGGGTGGTTAGCATCAAGAAGGAAATGAGAGGTGGAAAAGTTAGGTTGTTACACTAATTCGAATGAACCAAGATTAACCAATTCTTGTAAAACTTGCTTACAGAATTCACATGCGGATCACATATTAGTATCTGAATGTTAAGGCCACTAAGAAAAGTTATGGTAAATTTTCATTTCGAAATGTGTAATCTGAAAATAATATATCTGATCCGGAGTTACGGGTACCTGATTTTCTGAAGGTATGGATACTGCCTAATTTAACAGCTATGACTACTAACGAATATGTTCTTTGCAAAAATAAGTAAATTTTATATTCTTAAATTGTCCGTCAACATTTCCATTTGAAAAGCGGTCACTCGTGTATATTTTCTTTAACAGGTGAAACTGAAGAGGCAGAAAAGTTTCTTGGAAAACTGACGACACCCAATCAGACACTGATCAGAATGCGTGGTCTACCCTACACAACAACATCAGAACAAATTGTAAGTTTTTAGTACATTATGTGACTATTTAGCGGTAATTTGAGGACATTCTGAAATTTTCGAGACATTCAACATAGTTTAATCTCTGCTATAAGCCTCATAGAATGTAATTGTGTTCAACACATTGTCCAATGATTTATTTATGCAGAATCGTCTGTCTAATACACATCCCTCGTAGATGAGGATAAAATGAATGTTCACTTGACCATCTTATGTCGTTAATGTTAACATGTTTTGTTTCTAAATTCACACTTTTACTAGAAAGAAGTCACTAAAGTCTTGTTTGCATCATCAATAGACATCAAGATTTTTTCATTAAATCTATTTTTAGTTCACTAGTCACCGGTTACGACAAAAAATTGCCTGTGGTGCTCCATGCCTTGTCTTCTGGATATGACGATCACCTACACTGACTCACAGTAGAATACAGCCAAACAGAAAAGGGTAAAACTCCCCAAACCTGATGTTTGCTGTGCTTCCATTTGTCGTTTAGTGAAATCGTCTAGTAATTATCAGCAGTTGTAGACAACCAGGAATGGTGTCACTTGTTTACAGCTGAGATTACAGCATGCAATCTTTTTCCAAATTACATGTATTATAGTGACACTTGAATCTACAAACACTCTATTCACTACTAGTGGTTTTTTTCATTGCCACAGCCCTTATCCTTCCAAGACAGTGTATTTTGAAATCAGTGCTAACGAAGATTACCACAATATTTCTACGTAGTATAACCGGATCAAATAAAAAAAGTCGTTTAGAATTCAATGAATCCGTTATACTTCAACGGTTATAGGAACCTATAGTGGATACTAAACAATAACATGGTTGTGGAAGCCCACTTTTGAGTGAAGAAATGTTCACACTAAAAAGACAAACTTTGAAACATTTTTTTCGGACAAGAAATGCTCCCCATTGAAATAAATGGAATAAGACTCAAACTGATACACAGGAATTTCCAACTCTGGGTCTAATTTGCTCAGATATAGTTGATTATTAACAGGAAAGTAGCTAAAACCATACAAGCAGAAAATCTTGTCGATGTCAATATAATACTTTACATACGTACCTCGGGAAAAATTAATCCCCCTCCAGAAATATTTCTTCACTCACTGATGTGGTTGTGGTAAGGAGTTTGAACATAGAACAGCTACCTGAATCCTGCATATCTCCAGATGATTTATATAAACTGGAATGCAATTTAACTAGGATTCAGAAATACACGGATTTGACAGTGTGGAATATTCCCATATTATGAATTAAAAGTCAATCTGAACTAAGAATATTCTCCTCAGTAATTTATCATCTTCAGGATCTCACAATTTTAAAGTGTAACATTATAATATCTATTATAATTGAAAGAACCTGAAGAGAACTTAGTCAAAAGAATATTCTTCGTTCAGATCGACTTTTAATTCATGGTATGGAAATATTTCACACTATTAAATCTTGCAGTGCAAGACGTAGTCACAGTATGTATAACAGTCTGTGTTATAATATGCAACTGTATTAACTAGTAGAATGAAAGTGTATAGAAATTGCAATTTAACAGCTATTGAGAATTAAATGCCAAATAGACGTCATCTGTTGAGCTACTCTCTAGCGTTCTGATGAGTTTTCACTATAAACTCAAGTTGTTGCAACACATTTTTCCAATATGTGGTAATGCAGCAACTTACTGCAGGGGATTGTCAAAATGACATTTTTGAACAAAGCAAGAGAAGTAAATTGAGCAAGAAAGCATGATATCGTTTTATTTCTTTGACTCTGGTCAACTGCACACAACTTGAAGCAGTTTTAATATCAATGCTACAAAGTGTTGACATACTTCAGTCATTTGGTTAGAAGATGTCAATTATTCGTGCTACGTAACTGATTACAAGAAGAGCTGAAAGAAAAGAACCTTTGACTGTCAGTAGAATCGCTAGTGTGCATAGTAAACGTACAAGAATACTCTAGAGTCACAAATGGAAGTTTAACAATAGTAAGGGATGTTAAAACTTAGCAACACAAGTTAAGTAAGGGTTTCAAGTTTCTATGATTGGAAATGATTAAAAACAATAAGCAGTTGAAGAGAGATAAAATATTCAGGTAAAGGGTACGAATGAAGTAATTTGGTGAATGGTGACTAACAGTGGGATCCAGGATGAGCGTTTCGTCCCATTCTGGACTCGTCACTGGATGTACCTGCATTTTTGGACTAGTTGTGGTGTTTGAAACAGTGAGCAGTAGGTCTCAGTAGGAACACCATCAACGACTGGGGAATATAGATGCATCTCATTGACGAGTCCCAAATAGGACAGAATGCGCAACCTGGATTCCACCACTGGTTGCCATTCACGAAACTAATAAAAATTATTACGCTGAATGGCAGATTAGTTTGGGATAGTAAAATACATATTGTCTATGTTACGCAGTAGCAGGGCTAAATGTATTTACAAAATGTAGTTAAATGTGAGTGGCTAGTACAAAAAAGCATGTATTAAAGAGGAGATGATGGGAGTGAAAAGAGCAGTAAATCATGGAATGAAATAGATTATTATTATTATTATTGCTCCCTTGGGTTCCTTGTGGAACATAGGCCTTCAAATGCACGTCTCCACTTGCTTCTGTCTTCTGCTGCTGTACTTTTCACCTGCATTCATGTTAGTCCGTACTCTTTCAACTCCTCTTCACACGATCTCCTCCATGTCACCCTTGCACTGACGTCCCACTCACCGCTTCCCTTTCGGGTTCCATTCGAACAATGGCCTGACGCGCGTGCCATGTCACCCAGCGGTCTCCAGCCTCAGTGAGTGTCCAATCCATCTCCACTTTCTCCTGCATATTTGCTGTTGGTGGGCGATTGGTTCTTGTTTTGTTTGTTCCCATAACTCGTTGTTGGTGATTCTTTCCGGCCCGGCCATCTGATCTTCAGTATAGAGCAAGCGAAGACAGTTGTTAATAAAGGTCTGCAACAGGCTGTTGGAAATATTGTTTGTGACCCTCTAAGTTTCTGATCCGTATAGAAGAACTGACTGACTTGACGTTGTTTGTATTGAAGATCCGAATTTTGTTGGTGATGCTGAGTGACGAAGATTTCCAGATTGGTTTCAGGTTGATGAATGTGTTTCTCGCCTTCCCGATTCTCGCTCGATTTGACATCCTCGTCCGTTCCGACTGCCTGTAGTTGAGACAATGCTCCCTAGAATGAAGTGACCTCTTTCAAATGTCTCCCGTTGATGGTGATTGACGCTAGATGTTGCTGCTGCTGCTGTTGTTGTTGTTGGTTGGTTATTTTCATAACCTCCGTCTTGTCTATGTTCACTTGGAGTCCTGTCTTCGCCACCTGCTTCTTCGACCAGTTTGTCGGTTTTTCGCTTGTAAGTCTTCGATTTTGTGTGTGACATCAAACATAAATCATCCACGCGCGAAATCCAGGTCTTCTAGGTTCTTCACGTCGGTCCAGGATATTCCTGTCTTCTCGTTTCCCACTGTCTGACGCATAATCCATCAGTCCACCACAATTAGGAATATCATTGGTGATAGATAATAAGCACCCTTGTCTGACTCCTGTGTTTACTCCAAACGCCTCGCTGAGTTTTCCGTTGTGGATCACTTGACATGTGCCGTTGTCGTACAGCTGTTGAATAAGGTTGATGAATATTTGGGGTACGCCATAGTACTCGAGTAATTTCCAAATTACTTCGCGATCAACGCTGTCGAAGGCCTTCTCAAAGTCTATAAAGTTGAGGTAGAGGTTTGATTGCCATTCCATGCTTTGTTCTGTGATGATGATGCGTAGAGTTGCAATTTGGTCAGTACATGATTTGCCTTTCCTGAATCCAGCTTGTTCTGGTCGGAGTTCTGTCTCCAGTGCGTCCTTTAATCTCTCCAGGATGATGCGACTCAGGATTTTACTTGGCGTCGACAGGAGCATGATTCCTCGCCAGTTCTTGCAGAGTGAGGCCTAAGTCGCCCTTCTTTGGTAGTTTCACGAGGTAACCTTTCCTCCAGTCAGTAGGCACCTTTCCCTCCTTCCAGACCTTTTGCAATAATGGAGTCAGCATGTCTGCTGTAGTCTCTGGGTCCCTTTCAGTGCTTCAGGGGGTATTCCATCTGGTCCGGCTGCTTTTCCAGCTTTCAGAAGCTTGATTGCATTCAAGACTTCAGCTCTCGTTGGAGGATTGGTGTCAACTTGCAGTTGTGTGCGCGCTGTTGTTGGTATTTCTGGACGGGTTGCAGGTGATGGTCGGTTCAAGAGTCCTTTGAAGTGATCCGCCCATTGTTTAATCTGTTTTTCTTCCTTGGTAATTGGGTTCCCTTGGCTGTCTTTTATAGGTTTCGCTTGTGTTGATCTCTTCCCGGATAGAGATTTGGTTATCTGATATAGTGTCCTCAGGTCCCTTTTGCCTGCTGCCTTCTCAGCTTCAGTGGCAGGTTGTCGTAGAATCGTCTTTTGTCCTTCCTAGCACTCTTCTTCACTTCTTTGTCCAGTGCTGTGTAAGTTGAGCTCAGCGTCTCCTTCTCCTGTCCGTCCTTGCATTGAATCATTTTCTCTTTCACCATTCTCCTCTCTTCTATTAATTTCCAAGTGTCCGTTGAGAGCCATTCCTTGTCTTGTCTCTTCTTTCTTCCTAGAACCGTTGAACACGTTTCGTTGAGAATCGCCTTCAGAGACTTCCAATGTTCTTCCACGCATGATTCTTCAGTGATGTCGCGTAGTGTTTCCTGCTTTGCTCTGACAGTTGCAGTGAAAGTGTCCTTTGTGGTTGTGTCCTTCAGTAATTGAGTGTTGAACTTGCATTGTGGCCTATCCCCAGCTATCCTCGAGGCTTTTAGTTTCACCTTGAAAGTCCCTTGTACTAGATAGTGGTCTGAACCCACATCTGCTCCTCTCCTTGACCTTGTGTCCAGTAGGCTCCGTCTCCACTTTCTTGAAATTGAGATGAAGTCTATTTGGTTTTGGTGTTTCCATCTGGTGAAATCCATGTCGTCTTGTGTATATCCTTGTGTTTGAA